ATTATTATTATTATTATTATTATTATTATTATTATTATTATTATTATTATTATTATTATTATTATTATTATTATATTGTTATGATTTATTTTCTTAGGAACATATCAGAAAACAACTTAAAGGTAATGATTATTATACGTTCAACTTAATACATCTTATTAGATTATATCTAATTATATTAATTAATAAATGAAAAGGTGTTCCTGATCAATCAAGACTTAGACGATTGGTTCCTTCTGTTTCAACCTTTCATACAAAATTACCATTACGTGAATCTTTCTTATTGGCCAATGCGAAACATTCAATTGCTGCACGTCGATTTGTTCCTCCGAGTTTTAATGATATTCGAAGGTACGTTAATCATTATTATTAGAGAAATAATTTCGAAATAATTTAAATAATTGAATTAATTAAATTCATTAAAATTAATTATGATCCAATAAGGATCTTGAATACGGCACAGGTAATATTCTAAATTATTAATCGTTAATAGTTATTTATTCAATAATTTTATTTATTTATTTATTTATTTATAGATCATCGCGATCGCACCTAAACTTAAATTAATAACATTGTAAGTTGTAAAGAATTCATTTTTGCAGATGCATCAACATCAGCTGTCACAACAACAACAACATTGGATCTAATTATAATATATATATCATAAATATATAATATATAATATATTTATTTATTTATTTATTTATTTATTTATATAGTGATGGAGATATGACACTTTACGATGATGGAAAAGATTTTGAACAAGATTCGGAATTGGTGAATCTTCTCGTTCGATTATTAAAATGTGACCTTATAGTTTGTGTGGTAACTGCCGCGGGATATTCTGGTGATAGTGAAAGATATGAACAACGATTATCAGGGTTATTAAAAGGATTTCAGACCGCAAAATTACCTAAGGAAATTTGTAATAGATTTTATTTATTAGGTTTGTAATATAATTTATTATAATAAGATTATCATATTATATTGTGGAAGTGATGATTATTTATTTTTTATTTTTATTTATTTATTTTTTATTTTTATTTATTTTTTTTATTTTTATTTATTTTTTATTTATTTTATTTTATATAATTTAATTTAATTTGAATTTATTTAAATTTATTTTATTTTATTTTATTTTATTTAACAGGAGGAGAATGTAATTATTTATTTCAATGTCAAGAAAATTATCATCTAAAGTATATTCCAGAAGAGTAAGTGAAAAATCGTAAAATTATAAAATTATAAAATTGTTAGTAAAAATAAATAAATAAATATATACACATACGTTCATTCATTCATTTCATTAATTCATTAATTCATTCATTTCATTAATTCATTAATTCATTAATTCATTTATTTATTCATTTTAGTGAATATCAACCAGAGTATATTCGTACTTGGAGTGAAGAACAAATTAAAGCTATATTAAACGTGGCTCAAGAGAATTTACAAAGATGTGTCGATGATATGAAATTACCTTGTACAGTTATGCGTAAAAGTAAAGCGGTTGGTTTGGTTCCTCAACAAAATGTAAAAATATTTCGAGAACAATTGGATGAATGTGTTTTATCCTCTCAACATCGAATAGTTAGCTTTTTACAATTATCGCAAAAACAAAATTCGTTACCATTTTGTGCTTTTAATGGTGGATGTGATGTATGGGTTGATATGTATGTAATTTTATTATTTTTATCCGTTATTATCTATATTTAATTATATCGAATATATTATTATTATAATATTTATTTATTAGATCGAGTATTATTTATTGTATCTAATTTAATTAATAAATAAGTAAAGTTGATTTATTTATATTTATTTATTTTTATATAGTGGAAATAAGCTTATAGGAGTTCAAATATTACAAGAATATCTGGGGGCTACACCAGCAGAAACTTTACATGTAGGAGATCAGGTAATTAATTTTTATTATTTTATAATTCTTCTTATTATTTCTTTTTTTCTTACTTATTTCTTACTTATTTCTTATTATTCTTATTATTCTTATTATTCTTATTATTTGCTATTAGTTTTTATCTACAGGAAATGATTACGCAACTAGACATCAATGTTGTACATTATGGATAGTTAATCCCGAAGAAACTCAAAGTGTGTTGGTAGAATTATTAGAAGCTAAAAAACAAGAAAGTTAGATTAAGCTTACTATTATTTATTATTTATTATATTTTTATTATTTTCATTATTTTATCAATTTATTATAATTATAATTTTTTTTTTTAATTAATTAATTTGTTTTTGTAAATTAATTAGTCAATTAATTTAATACTTAATATTTAATTAAATGTAATTTAGTGTATTCTTGATATTAAATAAATAGAAAATAAATAATATTTACACATAATCTACTCCACTAATAAAGTTTATCGGAGTATGACTCCGTTAGAAAATATATATATATTTTCTTTTTATTATATTATGTCATTATTTTTTTTTACATTTATTTTTATTATATTATATTTTGTGCATTGAGTGAGAAATTTTTAATTATTTTTTAATAACTAAAAAAAAATAAATTATTCAATAATTTTTTCTATTTAAAATTTTTAAACAACTACAACAACAATAATACATTTTTAAATATTTTAAATATATTCAATATATTTAAATATTTCATCATATAACACTACTAGACCTTCCTCTTACTACAGCTTCTGCATAACTAGGTAATTGAGGATCATCATGACTTGGTCTATAAGTCATTATAAAGTTATTATCATCATTATTACTTTCTCTTCTTCCTCCTCCTTCATCATAATCATCTTCTTCTTCATTTCCTCCTCCTCCTTCTCCTTCTTCTTCACTTATACTTCCTCCTGAAATAATATTTCTTTTTTCAATTTTATTATTTTCTCCTTTTCTAAACCACCATAAAACTAATATACCTAAAATAAATATTAACACTACTGAACCTAGTATAGTTCCTACTAATATTGTAGTTTGAGCATTTGAAAATGATGTTGCTGAAGAGGAAGAGGAAGAGGAGGGAGAGGAGGAAGGAGAAGAAAATATAGTTGTAGGTAAGGTAATAATTGAAGGAGAAGACGAAGATAAAGTAAGAGTGGAATTTATACTATTATTATTATTATTATTATGAATAACTGTTGAAGTATAAGTATGTATAAAAGTTGCCTCAGCAAATATAGTCGCCGAATTTACTCTAGTCACTGTAGTTGTGGAAGTCATGGTATATATTTCAGTGGTTGCAGTTGAACTATTTGTTGATGAATATTTTCCTGAATTACTAAGACTGGTTTTTGACAATGACAATGACTCTTGTCGTTTAAACATGTTCCTAAAAAAATGATAAATTATTCTTTGATTTTTTTTTTATACATTTATTTACACTTTTATATATATATGTGTGTGTATATATATATATATATGAGGATATAATGAGTGCGGAAAAAGAAAGAGAAATAAGAGAAATAAATGAAAATGTATATATATTTAAAATTAAAAAAAACAAAAATGTTTAGTTTAAAATAAATTGTAAGTTCTAAATTTGGTAAATAAATTTAATTGAGAGATAAAATAAGTTAATGATTATTACACCAAATCAGGCTTGGAAATATTCCTGAACGCAATGGAACATTATTAGTTAAAGGATTTTTTTAGACTTGTAACACAAATTTTCGATTAAAGTTGGACAAAAATTAAACGAGTGAACGAGTGATAGGTTAGTTTTATTGACCAAAAAAAATAAAAAAAGTTTGTCCTATGTAAACACAATTCCTTTTAAATTATTTTCTTTTTGATAATAAAAATTATATTAATTTTAATTTTAATTGCTCTAGCGAATTTTTTATACAATAGAACTTCCGTTAAATTGTAAAAGAAAGATTCGTCAAACATTAAATTTGTTTAATTTTTTTAATTTTTTTTTATTTGTTGTTTCCAGAACGGTGATAGATGTTACTTCATTTATTATTAAATTAAAAAGTTTAAATATGTATATATTACAATTTTAAAGTATAATGAAAGCGAAACCTCCAATAATCTTTTAAAAATTATTGATATCATCAATAGATTAATATCCATCTACTGTAAACATGATGTAATAATTATTTTTATCGGGCAATACATTAAATTGTGTTACTAATAAACGCCGTTAGTGGAAAAATGCACTTAATGAACAAGGATTTTTGAGGTTTAGTAATAGTTTTGTAATGATTATCTCTTAAACGGTAGTGACGTCACAAGTTACGTAACACAGATTAACAACTCTTAGTTGGCTGAAGTGATAGTTTTACAAAATGATGATCCTAGATAATTGTGGTTAATTGAATTGATTTAGTGGCGTGATGATGAAAAATGGATCTACCTCAGTATCATCAACCAACAGATTTTCACACGCACGTGACATTTAAGTTTCCTTGAATTTTATTGGTCCATAATTTGGCTGATGATCAGTAATAGTTCACGAAGGTTGGTGACGAATATGTTTTCTACCCAGGATATTTAATAAAAATTAATATTCGAAGGGTGTGACATGATGATAAATACTCTACCCCTGATAAACTAACCTGGTAGTGAAAAATGGAAGAATTCCACGTGGTAACTTTTGTGTTGCTCAGGTGTTGAGTAAATAAAATGCACGCAATAATAAAGAAAAAAATAAAGATGAAAATTATCCGAATTATCCATCTTTCATCTATCACATGCATTCGTAAAGATTTGAGATTTGATCAAAAAAAATATTATCTTTTTTTTTTATAGAAACAATAACGTATAAATAATACATAAATAATCCATTTCTATTCAAATTCAAATTCAAATTACTTTTTTTTTTTAAATTTAATTATTACATTTATAATAATAATAATAATAATAAAATGTCTCCACCCGCCAGTACGAAACAATCAGAATCAGGACTAGCTCGTTTAGTGGGTTCGGGAGCTTCGGGGATACTAGAATTATTCATATTTCACCCTGTTGATACAGTAGCGAAACGTTTAATGACTAACCAGACAAGAGTACGAATTCAATATTCTTTTTTTTTTTTTCTTGTTGGTTTTTTCCAAAAAAAACTAATAATTACAGAATTTAATTATTCTATCATAATAATTATTATTATTTGACAGATTTTTATTCCTGGAGAAAATTTATCTAAAGGATTTAATAATTTGGATAAAGTTATATTTAAGGTTAATATTTTATTTTATTTTTATAATTATTATGTTAAAATCTTAATGCTAATTATATTTATTTATGTAGAATTCGTATTCACTTTCAGCAGTTCGAAAATACACATCTTTATTTCCCGGATTGGGATATGCAGGAGGATATAAAGTTCTTCAACGTACATATAAGTATGGTGGTCAACCATATGTAAAAGATTATCTTAATTCTCATTATAAGCATCAATTTTATTCAACATTTGGTGAAAAAAGTGGTAAAACTATGATACATGCAACAGCTGGCAGGTACATTTATATCCATTCACTTATTCACGTGTATTATAATAATAATAATATTTATCTATTTATTTATATACATATTAAATATATCTATATATCTTTTGTTTTTGTATAAATATTTAGTTTGGTTGGTATGGGAGAAGTGGTTCTTCTTCCATTAGACGTTTTAAAGATTCTACAGCAAACAAATCCAGATGCATTAAAAGGTCGTAATATTTTCCGTATCTTTTGGGACGAAGGATCTAGACTTTACAGGTAATCATCCATCATTTATATTTAATTTATTTATCTATATAAACAAGTAAATACTCATACAAATTCATTCATATAAAAAGAGGAGGTCTTTGGACAATGGCACGTAATGCACCGGGCAGTTTTGCATTGGTAATTTTTCTTTTCTAAATTTAAAAAATACAGCTTTATTATTATTGTTAGTATTCTAAATATTTTTACATATTATTCACATTCCTTTACATATTATTCACTATTATTCTCATTATAGTTCGGTGGATCAGCTGTTGTTAAAGAACACATTTTTGCTTTACAAGATTATTCCAAAGCCACCTTTTTCCAGAATTTCTGTGCATCAATAGGTGGTGCGGTTGCTTCAATTTCTATTTCTCAACCTCTTGATGTTGTTAAAACTCGAATTCAAAATAAACCATTTGATTCACCCGAATCTGGCTTACAAGTTATTCGTAATATGGTTTTAAAAGAAGGTAATTTATTTATTTATTTTATATATATCTCTCTCTTTTATTTGTATTCTTATATTCTTGTATTTACATATTATTTTTTTTATATAGGATACACTTCATTCTTTAAAGGGGTTACACCTAAATTAATGATAGTTGGACCTAAATTAGTATTTTCATTTACTGTCGCTCAACAATTGATTCCTATACTTAACAAATTATTTATGAAAGAAGTTGCTAATCCTAATACTCTTTAAAATTACTCTTTGAATTACTCTTTGAAATTACTCTTTAGAAATTACTCTTTAGAAATTACTCTTTAAAACTTACTCTTTAAAACTTACTCTTTTAAAAAAAAAAAAATTAAATTAAAGAAATAAAAGAGATAAAATATAATTAATTATTCTTTGTTAATTTTTAGTAAATATTTTCTTTTTTTCTTTCTTTCTTTCTTTCTTTCTTTAATAACATTCATTTGTATTTTTTCTTTCTTTTTTCTTAATACGTGGGGAATTCCGAATGCACATGTATATATACATGGTTTTATATAGTTTTAATATCTAATTTTATATCGTTTATATATATTTCACCGAAATTGGTATTTGCATATAATTGAATTTTTTTAAAAAAAAAAAAAGTTTTAGATATAAAGAGAAATCTCTTTTTTTTAATATACACGTGATATTTTAATAAATTATTTATGTAGTTTGCTTGATAACTATTAATATTATGAATGTCACACTCGAAAGGTGTGATAAATACACCACCCTTATCCTTATAAGGGCGTGGGACAAATTAATCTTAGGAGAAATATTCTTGTACATTTTCTTTTTATCAAAATTAGTCTTATAAATAAGCGGTTATTTTTTCATAATTAAAAACCTTTAATTTTTTAGAAAAATTTTTTTTTATATTTAAACTATGTACAAAGCACGATTATTTTGTATTAACTGCATTGACTTTAAGGAGCTAAACTATGTATCTCCATGAGCTACAATAAAGACATTGATGATTTCATCAAAAAATCACGGGGGGACTTTCGGTTCAAAATTAGAATTGGTCCATTTGAAAAATTTACAAAAGTAACATATATCAGGAAAGGTGGTTTTAGTGAGCCACTTGGGAAAAAGATAATTTGGAAGTTGTTTTGAAAGTTTTAAATGATTCTCAAAATGTAGATGAAAATTTTTATAAGAGGTGATATTTTATTTTATTATTTATTAATATCTATATATATATTTTTTATTTTTAGTTAAAAACTATGAATCAATTTAAACTAATGTTATGGAGTAACACGAGATCCGAAAACTAAAAATTTGCATTTATTTTAAAATATTTACAAAATGGGGACTTATACCATTTCTTATGCAAAAAAATTTAAAGAAATATAGTACGTCTTAACCCGACAAAATTTTAGGTCAACTTTAAAATGTATCTACTTCTGGAAAAATGGATTATTTAAAAAAATACCACATAAAATTGATAGCTTGGGTCTAATCTTATGTGATAAAATTTTGATTGGATCTTTTTTTAAAAAGTTATCAGCGTTTAAAAATGTGATACTCTATTGATATCTATAGCAAAAAAAAATAAAATTGAAACATCTAATTTTTTATTTTTTTTATTTTTTTTTATAAAATAATATAATTAAATAAATAAACACTCCTACATTCATTTCCTGTTCATTCATCCATTTGTTCATTTCGTTTATCCATCTGTAAGGTTCATCTATTCATTCGTTCATTTGTTTGTCCTTCTTTGCATCTCTTTTTTTCCTGTTCACCAATTATTCTTTAAAAATCAATGTGGATCGCCAGTATATAAATTTGACCTTTGTAATAGTATTGCAAAGCAAGTAAATTATGATATAGAAACTTATTCATCTTATTTTCACCATGATAATGATAACAACAATGACAATAATTGCAGGAGATTACGGGATGATAATGATAATAATAATTATTATGATGATAATTAATATGATGATAATAATAATAATGATGCGATGACAATAATTACAATGTGACCACTGTCACCACTGCTACCTTATTATTACTGCAAGAAATAAACATTAAAAAAAAGCTTAATACATAAAAAGACATACTATATTATTTTTGTACAAGTGTAATAAGATTTTTAAAATTTTTTACACTTCACATAAATTTTAATATAAAAAAAATTTTTGCGCTTCGTACAAAATTTATTATAAAAAAAAAAATTTTTTTTTTTGCGCTTCGCACAAAATTTATTATATAAAGATCTGCAACCAAAAATTGTCGAGTTAAGACGCAACGCAACGTATCATGGAAAGAAATGATTAAATATTTAAATAAAATTATTTCAGGAATTAAACTTATCCATCAAAACGGAATAATACATCGAGATTTACATAGTGGAAATATTCTTATTGATATTAATATTAATAATTATTATGTTCCTATAGTTATATCAAATTTCGGATTTAGTCAACCAGCAAATATTGAATCAAGAAAATCACAAATATATGGAGTTATTCCATATATGGCTCCAGAACTTTTTAAGGGTAAACCATATTCATTTGAAACAGATATTTATAGTTTCGGAATGATTATGTGGCAATTTACAACCGGACATCGACCTTTTCATGATCGAATCATGAACAAAACTTATATTAGATATTTTATGCCAATTTAATGAAAAGATGTTGGCATTCTGATCCTTCTCAACGACCAACAACAAATGAAAATTTTTGATACGTTTGTAGGTTTTTACGGTGAAGATATTAAAAAAGCCGAAGAAAAAAGACTGGAAATGATTAGATTAAAAAAAATCATTTGTAAAAAATTCAGGATATGAACATTCATTAGATTCCATATTATTAGAATCTATTACTTTACGAATATCACGTATTCAATGTTCCACAGTTTTTTTAAAATTAAATTTATAAAAAAATATTTTCTATTAACATTACATTTATTAGATGTTGTATCTATTCTCCAATGACTGTTTTGATATAATGAATATCAAGTAAGAATTATCTAATATTTATATAATAATTAATTGATTATTTACCGATTATATTATAATTAATTATTAATTATTTAAGAAATAGTTCCCAAAACAATTTAAAAAATCCTGGCCACGATTTAAGTGCAGAAAGTTCAAAAAAAATTCTTTAGACGAATTACTGCAAGAAAATGTCATTGAGGATCAAAGTAATATTTTTATTTTCTTGGTTTTAATTAATATTTTTTTTTAAATGGTAAGTATTTTTTTTAATAACCAGATGATTTTAAAAGAAGAAAAAATTGTTGATTATTTTAATCAATGTTCTCAAACAATTGCATGAATAACTATTAATAAAATTATTACTAATATTGAAAACTTTAATAACATCACTTTTCTATTCAAGTTATCGTTAAGTAATTAATATTTCCCTAATTTTTAATAATTCAAAGATAGAATTTTATTATTCCCTAATGCCACAGGAATAATTGAGATATGTTTGGCTTGCCATAATTTATACGGAGATAAAATCATTAACTAAAAAAGAAATTTTGTATTTCATAGAAATAAATTTTTTTTTTAGTAACTAGATTAGAAATTTGTAATTCCTAGAGAAATAATAAATTTAGTTTCATGAATTAGAAATTCTTAGAGGAATAAAATGCATGATTTTACATAACTGACTATCTATTTAAAATGTATAATCGATTCGAATAAAAAAATTATGAAGTAAACATATTAAACCCGCAACTTAACGAATTGATTGTGGATTGAATAATTATATATAAAATCGTTGATAATTGCCACATATAAAACTTTTCATTTTATAAGTAGATGTCAAAACTAGTACTAAGTAACCTCAAATATAAACATTAATTGTATATTATATATAAGAAGGGCAGACCTATATAATTAAAATTGAGCAAATAATAGTCATTTTAAACTTTTTTAACCGTTCTAAATTTAAATACCAATCATTCTCTCAATTTTAATGAAAAAAGTCTACCATTTTTACAGAGTACGTAATTAATTCTTTTCTTTAATATTACTTAGTAGCGTTTTTGGTATTAATTTTTTTTTTTTTTTTTTTTTTTTTTTTTTTTTTTTTTTTTTTTTTTTTTTTTTTTTTTTTTTTTTTTTTTTT